GATGTACATTCCTAATAATATAACCTCAAAAAAACTAAACAAAAATCGACAGAACTAAAATAGAAATAAACAATTCCACAGTCATGGTGAGATATTTTAATAGTCTTCCCTGAGAAACCAATAAAACAACTAGTCAAAAAAATCAGTAAGTACATAGAAGAATTGAACAACATGATTAATAACCTTGACCAAATTGACATATATAGAACACTGCATCAGAAACAGCAGAACACATTCTTTTCAAGCATATGGAACATTTACCAAAATTGACCGTATGTTGGGACTATAAAGCAAGTATGGAAAAATTTCAAAACCTGAAATCATACAGAGTATATTCTCAGATCAAGGAAGAACTGACAAACATAGCCAAATCCCCAATGTGTAGAAATTATGAAATAAACTTCTAAATAACTCATAGGTCAAAAACAAGTCATAATACTACAAAATAGTTTGAACTAAATGATAATTAAAATACATTTCAAAACGTATGAGATGTATCTGAAGTGTGGCTTAGGTGAGTATACCTTAATGCATAAATTAGGAAAGAGGAAATACTGAAAAGATATTATCCAAATAGCATCGCAAGGAATTTTTTAAATAACAACAAATTAAATCTAAAGAAAACAGAAGAAAGGGAATAATGAAGACTAGAAACAAATAAAATAAAATAGAAAGCATACAATATAGATAATCAACAAAGTCAAAGTTGATTCTTTGAGAGGACTGGTAAAATTAACTCTTGCTTTAAGCATTGGCTCTCCACCTGTTCCTCCCCCAACCCTTTCACCCTGAGGACAACCACTCCCATTGACTCAAGGCTTGGAGTCCCATATACATCAGGCCAAAGCTGGACTTTACCTTAAGTAACATCCTGTTCTGTTCTTTCCCCTTCCCTATTCTACAACACTCATTCAAAGGACCTTGCAAGTTTTTTCTGAAGAGCACTCTCCTGATAAATCCTGCCATGGGTTCTGCTTCTAGGAGAACATGACCTAAAACTGAAATTAAGAAAACCTCAACTAATCAATCAAAATAAACGTAAATACCAAGTCCATGAGTTTGGAGACTCAGTATTAGAAAGATATAAATTCCCCCAAATTAATCTATAGACCCAGTGCAATGCCAATCAAAATCCCAGGACATTTTTTATAGAAATTGATGAGCATATTCCAAAATGTACATCAGAATACAAAGGATCAAAAATAGTCAAAACAGTCTTGAATAAGAATAAAACAGAAGAACTTAAATGGCCAGATACAAAGATACATTATAAAGCTATAGTAACTAAAAGAGTTTGTAGTGTTGATATGAGAATGGACAGACAAGGGAGAGAAGTGAGAATCTGCCAACAGATCCATATATATGGCACTGATATATAAAAGCGGCAGTACTGTAGAGTGATGGGGAAGATCCATTTAGTAAATGGTATTGGGCCAACTGGTTATCTGTATGGACTTCTACCTCCTACATATACAAAAACCCATACCTTTACATTATAGCTCTAAATGTAAAAGGTAAAACAGAATTTCTAGAAGACAGCATAGAAGAGCATCTTTAGAATCTTTGGGGGTAAGTAGAGTTTTATCAAATAGATCACTTTTATTAACAGTATTGACCATAAAAAATTGGTAAATTGATCCACATTAAATTTAGCAACATATCTTCATCATGAGATACATTAAAGGAGTAAAAAGGCAAAACAAAACAAGAAAATATATTTGCAATACAAATAATTTTATAGTGACTCATTCTATGAACTTCTAAAAATGAAAAGACGACATGATTTAAAGATGAGCAAAAGATATGAACAAGTATCTCACAAGAGATGATATCTGCATGAAAAAAATACCTAGCTTGATTACTCATCAGGGAAATTCAAATTAAAACCACAGTGACATATCAATATGAGGGCAGGGATGTGATACAATGGGAACTCTCATACATAGTAGGTGGGAGAGTAAAGTGCTAAAGTCACCTTGGAAAACTTCTTGGCACTATAATTACATATAAGTGGTATATGTAGCATATACTGAATATATGCATACCTTATTATCCAGAAATTCCACTCCTACGGTATCCTCCACTCCCAGGATACATATATTTGCAGAATACATGCTTAAGAACAACAATGTTATTATCCCAAATAGAAAGCAACTTACGTGTTCATAAACAATAGAAAAGAACAATATATTGTAGTATATTTATACAATAAAATACCATCCAACAATGAAAAAGATCAAACTACAGCTACACATTATAGATAAAATCCCACAAATATATGTTGGTTGAAAAATAGAATATGTTCCTTTATAAGTAATATATAAAGTTCAAAAACAAAATTATATTGCTTAGAGATGCACACATGGGTGGTAACCCTATAAAGAAAAGCATGGTTATGATTGCTATAAAATTCAGGCTAAGGATTACAAATAGGGTGAGGTTTATTGGATTGGAAAATGACATATAGGAGACTTCTGGGGTGCTAGTATCCTAATTTCTAGTCTTAAATATTGGTTATATGGATGTTCAGTTTATAATTATTTGATAAATTTCAAAATTAATAAAATTCTAAAAATGATGCAAAACTGCATGGAAAGATTATAGTGAAATATATCTACAAGTCAGTACATTTATTAATCATTTAGTTACAGTAGTATGTTCAATTAATGGTTATCTTAAAATGAATAATTGTCTAAAATCAGTTGAAAATGTTTTATTTATTACATCTTAAATTACTCAACATTCAGTATTGTAGATTTTAGAAAGGATTCCTATAATTGAGTTGGAGCTTAGATAGTACAGGCATTTTCAAGAATATATGATTCTGTGAACTAGCTGTCCCAGGAATTAATGAGCTACCTTTTCCTGAGATAGTTAACAAATTCCAGATAATGATTTATTATACAAAAGATTCCCAAAGTAGACAGTTGGATTAAAGTACCCCTAAGATGCCTTCCAAAATTAATAATTTTAAAATTTGGGCCATGTATTTCCTCTAAGAATTCCACCTCTCTCTTTCTCTTCCTTCCTCTCTCCCTCTGCCCACCATTTGCTAACATTTATATGGAAGTATGACTGTAAGCAGTTTAGCATTAGGCATTATAAAATTAGGATAATCTACACAATAAACAAAAAAATTACATCTTGTTGCCCAATTATTTTCATGGAAAGATTGTCTTCTCTGTCTGGGATACCATGTAAAACTATTTGGCAGCTTCTTGAATTCTCTAGGGACTTTCTTATCATAAAACAATGAAATGTACATGGCCGGCATTCATAGGGTAAAAAATGACATATGAGACGTTTTTCACTTTAAAAAAGAATAATAATAATAAATAAACCTAAGACAAGTCTATGAAAAAACTATAAAAGAAAAAGAGATACAGTTAAGTGGGGGGAAGATTTGGCTTTTAATAAGCCACTCAATCTATTGGAAGAAAATAAAAGGACTACGAAAAGCCATTGTTCCCCCTTTAATAGCAACTGGCTAATAACCAGATTAGAATAACTTAGAAACATATCAAACTAGTTTAAAAAAGGAATATGGTTAATAAGCATAAGTGTGTGGAAACAGCCTACACTTTGACGTCTTGTGAAAATGAATCAGATACCTTTAGCAAGGGATAATTGATACTTGCAACCCACATGTTGGTAATTGGAGCTTCCAGGATAATAGCACCAACTGGTGATCCTTAAAAGTAATAAAAAGGAAATAACTCCCGTATCATATTTAAATACTACCTTTCCTAAGTAAGGGAACCTCCAAGTTTTGCATGTGAATTACCTGCATCAAAATAATCTGTGAAGCTTACTAATAATGCAAATTCCTGGGCCCCACACCAGACTTAACGTTAAAAGTCAGAATCTTGGGATCATAGGGGAGGGGTGTAAAAATATGCTTTTTTAACAAGCCCCCACACACACATACACACACAGATTTATATGTACATGATAACTGAAAAACATTACCTTCTTCTGAAACCAGATTTTCATGACCTGATAATTTAAGAAAGCAAAGTATTACAGGAAGGGAGAGTGTTCTACAATCCATCATTAAGAATGTTCCAGAGGCCGACTAGGTTGTGTTGGTCAATACTCACTCTGAGAACAATTAGAAAATGTGTGTGAGATGGGGATATGCATATATGTATGTATATGTTTGAAGACATCTGAGGGCTACTAAGTCAGTGAGATTCTGTAGAGCCAACATAGAAAAAGCCAATAGACTTTGAGCTGCCTTTCCCCTGAAAGCAGTTAAAACTTCAAAAGCCACTGAAAGGCTTAGAAGTAGACAGAACGTTCTGCATTTTCATGAGACCAAAAGGACAAAGTAGAGTTCAGAGTCTGACAAGAAGGACTGCCCTAGTAAGTTTCTCAAGCTTTTTGTTGTGACCTTAATGGACTATACCTTGGCAGCAATGGTGAACCAGAAATAAACCAGCCTTCATAAAGGCTGAAGCCCAGCTTCAAATTAGTTCAATCCCTGATTGGATTAAGGTGATTTTCCCCCTTACTATAACTGCTTTTCAAGAGAAGAGTAATTCTGTCTGGAAGAAAATAATATTATCCCTAGTCTCAAATCATCTCTACAGTTTTCTATAAACAATGTCTAGCATTTTATCATAAGTAACTGCACATACAAAAAAGGCATAATGAGACTAAAACAATACAAAACAGCTAATAATAGAGATCTAGATACTAGAGTTATCATATGTGGACTTTAAATTAACTTAGAGTAAATAACAATAGTAAAATATTTATTAAAATGTTAATATTTAATTAAATATATTACACAGTGAACTATAATACATCAAAAGAAAATATTTAAATTAGAGCACAAAGAGAAAAATGTCTGGATAACCCAGAAAAGAATATTGGAGACATATAGAACATGGGAACAGATTTTAAATATACATGTAATTATAGTCCCAGAGAGAAGGTGCAGAATGGGGTAGGCACAGTATTTGAAGATATAATGACCAACAGTTTTCCCAAAACAGATGAACATCAAGCACAGAGTTGAAATGTGCTATGAACCCCAAGCAGGATAAGTACTAAGAAACCCAAACCTAGAAAAATCAAAGTAGAGTAAAAATGCTGGGGAAAAAAATCTCAAAAATAGAAGGAAAAGTAAACATTACTTCAAAGGCGCAACAGTAAGACTGGCAGCTGACCTTCTAATGAAACAGTGAAAGCCAGAACAAAATGGATGCCATCCTCAAATTGTTGAAGTAAAGTTACTGCCAACTTAGAACTGTATGCCTTGTGAAAATATCCTTCAAAAATGAAGATGAAATAAAGACTTTTTCAGATCACAACTGAGAGAATTCTTCACCAACACACAGGCAGAACAAAAGTCCCAGATGGAAGCACAGAAATGCTGGAAGTAATAAAGAACAAAGTAATCTAAATACTAACTTTATAATATAAGAATAATAATGTTTTATGGAGTGTGTAATGTAGAGTAAATTAAAATACATGATAGTAAGTATTCATATGTTGGGGGTGTAAATGTAATTAGAGTGTTCTAAGGTCATTGCATTATCCAGGAAGTGACATATTCATTTATTTGAGAATTTAGTTCAGATATACATCATTGTCAACACTGTGAAGGAGGTATGCAGAGAGAGATGAGAGCTTAGAGGGTTATCAAAATAATGCTTGTTTTATTTCTATAAGTAATTAAGATTGTATATAGCAGGTGACTTGCTTTAAAGTGTTTTCATAACTCAGAGCCTGACCTGTGTTGCCAAGTAAAATGTAAGATATAATGCAAGAGAGTACAAGCTTCTAATGCACATCAAAATCACCTGATCCTATTCAAAGAGACTAATTTATAAAAACAGGATTCAAGAAACCTGTGTTTATAACAAGTGCTCCCTGAAGATTCTGATACAGGCAATTCTCAGAACACTTTGAGAAACACTGATATTAATATTACATACAAAGAGCTAAAGAAAGCCAGTCCTGCTAAAACGTATGTGTAATTATATATATGTAATTATACATGTGTGGACAAAATGAGAGTTCCTGTGGCCAGGATTCTCACCTGGCCCGGGTTGACTAGCTCACTGCACACCCATGGGCAATACATGGCTGTTGACTCTATGTAAAGAGCTCCACCCAGTGCTCTGGGTGTGACACGGTGGCACAGCTGCAAGGCTGCAGGAGAGCAGAGCAGAGGCTGAAGTGGTGGCAGTGCCGAGGACAGAGGCCCAGAGGACGGCTGTGTGGGCAGAGAGGCCCACAGGATGGCTGTGTGGGATGACTGTCCAGAGAGGCCCAGAGGACAGCTGTGTGGGATGACTGTGCAGAGGCCCAGAGGACTGCTGTGCAGACAGAGGCGCCCAGAGGCAAGGGGAGAGACCAGCTTGCTGCATGCAGACTTGCTCTGAGTGAACAGGATTTTAGTGACTGACCTGCCACCTGGAAGTAAAGTTGGGTATAACCCTTTCACCCCAAGAATGTTTTGCTGTCAATTTCTTTGGTCACGTTGAATCCATAGCGAACTCACCCGGGGCTGAAACCCATTGGCAAGACAACATATAATAATACTTAAATATATTTAAATGTATTTCATAATGTATTCTTTCCCTCTCCTGTAATGAAAATTACTCCACAGTAACATTATCACTTTACAGTGAGGGCTATGTCAAAGGTAATTTTAACTCTTTCCCTAGTATTGATTTCATAACCTTGAGAAGCAGCTGTTATTTTATATTTAATAGAAAAAAGCTTGTTACACTATCAGAAACCATCTAAATTTGGGGGTGCTTTAGGTATCTGTGTGTTCATAGTGTGCATAATAGTCTCTTGACTGTTTTATTTTCCCAACTCAAGCCAAGAAATTACACCATGTAAGCATCTCATAGTACCTTTCTCTTCCATTACTTTTGTATTTGTTGCAACTCTCTATAAAGCAGTGGAAATTAGTACATATATGAAGCAGTGACTTGATACTCAAGTAAATCATACAAAATGCAACATCTAGTATGAGCATCTGATGAAAGCTCTGAACCCTCTAATTACAAAATAAACATAGACACAAATTTTGCACAGGATTTTTTGGGGTTCCCTTAGCCCTAAACTAAGAATCTTTCTCTTTAAAACTCAGTTGGGTTCTGGAATGGGCTTCAGTGTTACAGATAACCATAGAGCCAAACCCTCCCGTGTGTTATAAACAAGACACACTGAGATGCCAGTTGTCTCTAGCCACTTGTGGGATGTAGAAGAACCAGAGAAGAAGAGTCCCTGTCTCCTAGTTCCATGCTGCTTCCCCTGCTCACCACTGCCTTTGATTGGGCACTATAGCCCCAAGGACTCACACAAGGACCCATCTTCAGACCTCACTCACCCTGTACCCAGAGAGTGGCCCCAGGGATGCACAGGGGTGGTACCACTTCTCGCCTTGGCCCACTCATAGACACAGCATCTGCAGTCAGTCCCTCCTCTGTGGGCATGCCCATAGAGTCCCTGAACCCTGGCAGCAAGGAAAGGCAAACACACATCATTACACCTCTAAAGCCAGGACCATCAAAAGCCCTCTGCTTACTGAAAAATCTTGGCAAACTACTGGTAACACATACCTCTGTAGTCAGCAGACAAGACATGAAAGCCACCGTGTCTTGCCAATGGGTTTCAGCCCCGGGCAAGTTCGCTGTGGATTCAATGTGACAAAAGAAATTGACAGCAAAACATTCTTGGGGTGAAAGGGTTATATCCACCTTTATTTCCAGGTGGCAGGTCAGTCACTAAAATCCCATTCACTCAGAGCAAGTCTGCTTACAGCAAGCCAGTCTCTGCCTCTGGGCCCCTCTGCCTGCACAGCCATCTTCTGGGCTTCTCTGCCTGCACAGCCTTCCCACACAGCCATCCTCTGGGCCTCTCTGCCACACAGCCATCCTGCACAGTCATCCTCTGGGCCTCTGCCACACAGTCGTCCCACACAGCTGTCCTCTGGGCCTCTCTGCCTGCACAGCCATCCCTCATTCACTCAGAGCAAGTCTGCTTACAGCAAGCCAGTCTCTGCCTCTGGGCCCCTCTGCCTGCACAGCCATCTTCTGGGCTTCTCTGCCTGCACAGCCTTCCCACACAGCCATCCTCTGGGCCTCTCTGCCACACAGCCATCCTGCACAGTCATCCTCTGGGCCTCTGCCACACAGTCGTCCCACACAGCTGTCCTCTGGGCCTCTCTGCCTGCACAGCCATCCCATACAGCCATCCTCTGGGCCTCTCTGCCACACAGTCGTCCTGCACAGCCATCCTCTGGGCCTCTCTGCCTGCACAGCCTTCCCACACAGCCATTCTCTGGGCCTCTCTGCCACACAGCCATCCTCTGGGCCTCTCTGCCTGCACAGCCTTCCCACACAGCCATCCTCTGGGCCTCTCTGCCACACAGTCATCCCGCACAGCCGTCCTCTGGGCCTCTCTGCCATACAGTCGTCCCATACAGCCATCCTCTGGGCCTCTCTGCCTGCACAGCCTTCCCACACAGCCATCCTCTGGGCCTCTCTGCCCACACAGCCGTCCCACACAGTCATCCTCTGGGCCTCTGTCCTTGGTGCTGCCACCACTCCAGCCTCTGCTCTGCTCTCCTGCAGCCTTGCAGCCCTGCCACCATGTCACACCCAGAGCACTGGGCAGAGCTCTTTATATAGAGTCAACAGCCATGTATTGCCCACAGGTGTGCAGTGAGCTAGTCAACCACGGGCAGGTGAGAATCCTGGCCACAGGAACTTTCATTTTATCCACACACCATCACTTGACATCTAGATGACAAAGGAGCTGTTACCACTTTAATTAGAAAATGTGAACAAGAAAAGGTGGTATAACCTCCTGAATACTTCCATAACCTCACTGAGGTGATTTAATAGGGGAAATATGTATTTCAGAAATGTGGTGTTTGACTTCAAACTTGAGAAGATTAGATTCAAGTGGAAAGAAACATAACAGCAGGCTGAGCAGGGCCACCCAGCCTGGGTCACACCCTGGTTGTGACACTCACCAGCCATGTGACCTTGGACAAGACACTTAACACTTAAATAGGTAAATATCCTGGAAAATGAAAAACAATAGTGACTGCCTTCAGTATTGTTGGGAAGTTACTTGAGATGATGTATTAAAATATCTTGTTACTTAGTAATTATCTTTTTTAATAATTCGCTTGAGAATAAGGACACTACACAGAGTTTCAGTAGAAGCAATCAAATAATGGCAAGATATATTTATATTAAGTGTGAACAGATAAAAGGGTTTTGATCAGAAATAAAGATCAGTCAATTACATGAAACCACTGCTGAACTTCATGTAGATAAATGAGGAAAGAATAAGAAAACATAATTTTAAATGAAATGAATTACAATGATAGACAAAGAGAAGAGAGAGCAAAGGACAAAGATTTACTGTGCACTTTTAAAACTTTACTAAATCCTCACAATAATCCTGCAAGGTGAATACTGTCCCCACTTTACATATAAAGAAACTGCACTTTGAAGCATGTAAGTCCCTTGTTCATGGTCACCCAAATGCTGGAGGCAGAAGCAAGAGTTACATCTGGGTCCGCTCGAGTCCTAGCACTGCTCCCCCACCACAGCATAGGTTCAACATAGGCTGAATCTCACGAGGAACTTTTAAATACAAATTGACTAATAATGAGGAACTAAATGAAACTTTTAAATACCTATTTAAACTGCATTCCTTCCAAAAAAAGTTACTTAAGACACTGAGCATTTAAGCATGAAGGGTAATGGGAATAGTTAAGTAAAGATTATAAGTATATAGTCTAAATATAATGGAGAATGATTACGTTTTAAATTGGTAACTGATGACTGGAAGAATGTTAAATAGTATTAAGTAAAAGAACAACAAAATTGCAGTAGATATAATCAAAGTAATATAAACAGTTTATCTAGAGATATAAAGACTAGGTGGTAATGCAAATAAATGAAAATAGTTGTACTGAATGATTGAAGTGATGAATGAATGAATCAGTGGCAAAGAGGGGAAGCGAGGGAGGACAATTTAATAATGAATATTTAATTTTTAAAAGAACCTCTCCAAAGGAGAAAACAAAAGCCTAAGGAAGTTTGGTCAAGCTGGGAAATAATGACTGTGGCCCCCGATATCCAGAATCTGCCTGAGGGAAGAAGTCTCATCCTACCTTCCCCTCCCATCCCAAGTGCCACAAGAATGATCTGGCTACCTCTCACCCCTACACCTACACCTCTTCTCCTTGCTGTGCACATAGGGGACATACAATTCAGTTTTGCCAAGAGTGGGAGGGGAAAAAAACACATGTTCTCAGGGGGAAAAAATTCATGTTTCCACCATCTTCATGTGGGAAGTGCAAAGAGTTGGATGCGAGGCAGAAAACAAACCAAAAAAATAATAAGACAACGTCCTCCCAGGCAAAACTGCATCCAGCCCACCACTACGCCACAGGAGTTGCTCTAAGAAGGCAGGAATCGGGGTTGGGGCACAGACAGGACAGGAGCTTCTTCCTGTCTGAATAGGGGAGGAGGATGAAGAAGGTGCTGGGGATTCTGTGCCCCACTAGTTCTGTTAAATCAGGAAAGAGCTCTGAGGTGGGAGCTGGTAAGGAGAGATGAGGTCCTGTGGTCAGTTGGGCAAGCAGCCCAGCCCTCTGAGAGAGAGAGATGACATAAGTGTGGGAGATGACCAACAGATGGCTGTCCAGCCGTCTCTGAGTCAGTATGGCTGAGTAGAAAGTCCACCTACTTTCTCACACGGGAGGATGCAGGGGCTGCCCCAA